TACGTACAAGATGATAATTATTCTTTCACCTTGCCGCCTCTCGACCATAACATACATTGTTGTTTATCTGCTGAATACATTATTCGGCTTACTTATAAATTATTTTGACTTAAATTATGATAGTCATTTCCTTTGAAATAGGAAGCCGATATTAGCAATTTTGCTTCAAATATTGACGTGTGATTCTCGGTACCGGCGTTGTCATCCGTAAAAAATTAAATAATTACTCACAAGTCATACGATTTCACAATTTGCGTAACTATTTAAAAGCTGCAGCAAAATCAAGTGCCTAAATTCAATTTCTACCATAAATTTAACATAAAGTCAGGTTACTGTAGATTACTTATAGGTAATACAAATCATCCTTATTTTCGTTAAAAATATGTCAAATCTTGGATGAAATTTTTGTGTGTGTTTTGAGACGGCGCTTTTGTCGAGATCCAATAATCACCCGTGCGAACCCGAGGCGGATCTCTAGTTAAAAATAATAATTGATAAAAAAATAAACGTTGAATGTTTAAATATGTAGAAGTCGATTTCAATGAAGTCCGTCGAATATTATAAAATTGGAAAAATGAGAAAATGTTTCAAGTTTTGCATATTCAGTTTGCGCATTTCTAAGTGTAAGATTCGTATCGTGTGACTGTAGATTATAGTAGAATAAGAGAATGAAAAATAAGAAAATATCGGTTTATACACACTTTTGTATTCTAATTCCTTTTACCTTCTGTAAGAGAGGAGAGCCAGCTAACTTACTGATTTCCTTCCTGCTAGCGGCATTAGTAACAGCACACACCTGGTTTACTATAAATATTTTTAAAGGCGTTGTAGAGTAAATGAAGAAATAAGTTTAAGTTGGGGAAACAAGAAGCTAACTTATTTAATACACGGAAAGTGTGAATACACTTTGTGTGTGATGTGAATGTGAATTTACGTTCCTCCCAATGCTGGGCACAAAATTCCTCTAAATTTTTGAGACGACTTCGGACCAGGTAAGATGTCCATCACACTACGCAATAGGGATGTCCAAGTTGTTGGAGCTCTCGATGTTCTATTTCTTATATAGTTACAAATTGACTTCTTATTCTTATAGATAGATTCGTATTTGCTTAGGATAAATATTAACTAAAAAAAGGACCGTTTGCCTAGGTATTTCGTCCCAATTCTGAAGAAGAGAAGGTATTTAGGGCTAGGAAAAGTCCTCACGCACTGCCGCCCAAAGCGAGTTGGTGGACTTTACGTGTCTTCGAAATATTTTATTCAATTTCTAAGACCTGCAGGTTTCCTCACGGTGTTTCCCTTAACCGTAGAGCACGTGGTAAATCAGAAATTAAAATTGTAATTGCCAATTTCATTGGTGCCGATGGGAATCGAACCCAGGTTGCTCGCGTACTGTGATATTTACAGCGAGCGTTGAGCCGCTGAGCTATCGCGACTTGCTACTACACTTATTATTTATTACCTATGTAATTTGTAGGAACTCGAAATCGAATATTATATTAAAAACTAAAATAGGTACAAATCCTTATTTTGAATCGCCGCGCCGTCAATACTTATCAGCTTATCACGCGTTACAGCAACGCTGCACGAATACTAGCGTGAAATAGCAGTATAGGCATTATATACGCAGTAAAGGCATCATACGCATTATGAATACATAATAACTCTGTGAGTATAAGTAACTTTTTAAATCAAAATAATCAAAAAACTAAATGTATAAATAAAGGCGGTCAAGGTGCGACCCGAAAGGTCCACACGACTAACTTTCTAGTGGAAAGAATAAAAAAATATCATATGTTTTAATAGATATTTTATACAATTTTTCATTCGGCACAAAAAACGACCTGATCGATTTTGCTCAAAATTTTACGAGGTCTAAGTTAAATGCAACTGGTCCCATGTCAATATCACTCTTTGTTCTCGAGATACGCGTCGCGAAAATTTAATCCGAACATAGATACATACATACATACATACATACCTACATACGTACATGTGCACACACGGACATCCTCTTAAAAACCATACTATTCGACTCTAAAGACCTTGAAACTTGGAGATATGTAAAATTTCCAATTTGCAAAATCGGACCCATTACAGTAACTCCCCACTTAACTAACTAGTAACTTCTCACTCGGAAGTTAAAAATTTATACTATATTGCTGTGTTTCGTTTCGTATGGTGAGTGCGAAGAAGCAGAAACCCCTTAACAAATAACGAACTATAGAGGCATTTTGTTTAACGACTAAAAGGTGACAACGAATCGGCATTTTAATTATCCATTGAGGATATACGTAGGTAGGTATCTATGGGCCACAGCATCCACTTACCATCATGTGAACTGTTTGTTTCTTAAAAGTGCGTTATGCAACCTATACCAAATGCAAATAACAATACCCTATTAAAGTTCACTGCTGAATATAGGCCTCCCCATTGATTGCCTTTTAACAGGAATATTTGCCATCGTTGCCACGCTCGGATAGCGAGTTGGCAACTGCAGTATTTTTTAATTTTCAGTCGATATTAGGGAGAGGAGACGATGCTGCCTATTTCCTGATTTGCTTCCCTCTATCGCCTCTTACGACACCCACGGGACGATATGGGGTAGTAGATATTCTCTACACGGTGATACATAACATAATCTTTGAATGATAATTCAGTATACAAAGTTAACAAAAAATTATAATTCACTAAAGTAAGATGAACTTTATAATATTCACGATGAAAATATTACGGAAACATACATTTTGTCGAGAATCAACTTAAATGACAGCGTACCAAAAATTAGGCGAAACCGTAAAAAGCTCAAAGATAACACTGCATTGTAAACGGAGATGAATGAAGGGTTGATCTTGAATCAAGAAACGTCCGGCGCCGGCACACGCGCGCTAACGTAGTGCGCCATCTTGTAGGCGGGGTCTATCTTTCCGACGTAACGGATACCAGTCTCTTTCTCAAGTCCACAACGCCGAAGAATTGCGTGTTAGAAAGAGTAAAACTGATGATGATTTCGTATCCTACGTAAAGTATCTTTTTGAGCGTACGTTTTTTTTCTGTTTTCAATCAGCTGGTGAAGTATGGAGAAAAATAATTGCATTTGGTGTCTATGCTAAGATAGGATGTCCTGGGGAAAATTTATTAATTTTTAACGCTATGTTTATGTTATTAAGAAAGTAACACATTAATATGGCAGATCAGTGGTTGTAGTATTCATGTTTACTACGTGAAGCGATTGTTATTACATCGATCAGCAACACATCAACCCATCTTCATCGCGGCCTCGTATTTATAGCGCTATTAGCTAAATAACGATTATATTTATAACGACATACAAATGAATTACTCGATGGTAAATAAAATTATGCCAAATTTAATCAATTAAAATTACAAATATCTGAACCAAGTATACAGTATGAGTAAAGGTTGTAGTTGAAACTACTTTTTTACTCCTTGTTCTAGCTTATAAAATATTTGTCAGGTTTCAAATTTTTGGAAAATTTCTAGTCCAGAAATTGACAGGCTGGGATGTGATAATAGGAAATGCTAACCGTCAATAATAGCAGTTAATGAGATCTTCCTAGCATTTTTTACAGTGTGATGGACTCTTTCTATGCCACCATACAGCCTTGGACTAATATTAATTTATCAACCATTCGTATTTCTAAATTAGTGTAACTATATCCAATTACTCAAATAATTAAATTATTTGAGTAATTGGATATAGTTTTTATTTATGGTATATTTTTGAGGTGTTAGATTCATTGCAAACGTCATCGGTGACAGTTATTATATTAGTTCATAAATTTTTCGTTTGGTAATACCTCAAAAAGCAAAGTTGTATTTTTACAGAAATAGAATTGATTTCATGTTATTAGTATCTATTAATTATGTAACTTAACAGTTACACGATTAACATGTATTAAAATTAAGACACTTGTCAACCGATTCTAGAGTTATCTACGTAATTATAAAGCTTATATTTGAAATTTTACGTTATCTACAATGACTTCCCGATGAGCTTGCTACAGTCGTATGAATCACCACCGACAGCTTCAAAACACTACAAAAGAAACCTTAATCAAACGCAATAAGGAAAGTTTTTATATTAAAACAGAAGATTACACGAGCTCGAGTAAATAAATCCGGCAAGCTTAATGCAAAACTTTTGGTTTACGCTTTATGGTAAATATTTGGTATACGTCGTATAACTGTTTTATAGATCTAGTAAAATGTTTGCTTTAATTGTGCTAGGTCAAGAGCGTTCGTTCGACAGGCGTCCTTGCGACGGATAAATATTATTGTCTAAGCGGGTTTTCCACTCTTTAGTGTTTGTACGAGATTGTGGATGATACAGGCTGGGAATACGAGTGCAACGACCGGTGCCGATGGTATGCTCCGATGATACTCTTCCAACTGGTACGTGATATGGTGAATATTGTAAATTCACAACACAAGTGCGAACACGGTGTATGCACAGTCATCAATGAGCAGTAGAGTGAGTGTCATGAAAACAATAATTGATATAGATACATATTTGAAATATTTTAAGATATTAAAAAATGTTCAGTACGTAGGGAACATTTACTGTACAATATACGAAAATTTATTTTACTTTATTAATGAACCTTATAAATCATTATGATTTAATGGAAAGCGTTTTTATACACACTATTGAAATGGTGATTTGTGAAGTTGCTATCATCAGTCTGTATCAAAAGGTACATGGAGTGTGGACTTGCCAATAAGCAAGTGCGCTGAATGCGTGGGTGTGCCAGGGCGGCGGGGCATGGCGGGGCGTCGCGGGGCGCGGCCTGGGCGGCGGCGCAAGGCGCACGTATTGGGCGGCCGGCGGCCGCACTGTTGCTCGACTCGCGCACCGACGCGCACGCGCAAGCGCACGCATGAAGACCGAAGACCAGACCACGGAGGAGGCGGCGCGCCGGGCGCCTGCTACTCGCCGTCAAGAAAAACCACCCTTCTCGTACATTGCTCTCATCGTCATGGCCATCCGACACTCACCCAACAAGCGACTCACACTAAGCGAAATCTATGCGTTCCTTCAGCAACAGTTTCCGTTCTTCCGCAGCTCCTACCAGGGCTGGAAGAATTCCGTGCGCCACAATCTCAGTTTGAATGAATGCTTTGTGAAGTTACCCAAGGGGTTAGGAAGGCCCGGGAAGGGGCATTACTGGACGATTGACCCATCGTCTGAATTCATGTTTGAGGAAGGGTCGTTTAGGCGGCGTCCGCGTGGGTTTCGTCGCAAGTGCCAGGCGTTGAAGCCACAGTTTGGGAGCGGGAGCTACTTGTGTGGAGGTGGAGTGGCCGCGTTACCGCCATCTCAACCAACGGGATATGAACTGGCGGGTGGTAGTGGCACAAACCCCAGCGGCTCGACGTCCATAGACTATGGAGCATGCGCATACGCACACTCAGGCTCTGGCGGTCAACAACTGGCTTATGGAGGCGAGTACTGTTCATACGGTGGAATGGGCGAGCGCGAATGGCCTCTTGCATACAGCTCTGTGGAGCCAGCTTACCGGCCTCCCCCTCCTTCGCCACCCTCGCGCCATGATCTGCCCGACATCATTCCCAACTACCAATATGCCGTCGCCAACGATCACGGTAAGTCTTTGATTGTCATACTTATCATTATATTATCAATAGACATTTTAACTGTCGGAAGTGATAGTTTATAAGTAGTCTAAGGTTGAGCTATAGTACCTACTATTTCTTTTATCTACTGTGGAAAAAATGTTGGGGGAAATATGAGAACTAAAATTTAAAGCAGGGAATTTGATAGAAAATATCGAAAGACTGTGACGCGCGGCTATGAAACTTCTTTGAAAATGACTTCTATAACCAATTTTAAGTTCAAGACTATCATAAACTACGTGTTACAATAAGTCTGAAATATAATATTACAGTTTAATGTTAAAGTTTAAAAAAATATTTAGTACCTAACTACTATTTTTATGAAGCACCGACTTCGGTGGTTTTATATTTGATGCGCATTTTTTAAAGTTTATTCATATATGCGTCGATTTTTCGCAAACGGTTGAATCAATAAAAATTATTCTCCTATTATTATTTAAGCTACACTTACAGGGAAATCTCGTTAAAGTTTGAAGAAAAATCTCACCCTATACATCGAAAATTAGGAGATGAGGTTTTATTCTATTTTGATAACATTCTGGTTGTTACCTTAGCTTGTGATATTGCTTAGTACACTTTTAGTTATTTAGTTATTTTTAGTTATCAAAGTCGGTTTTTAGTTTTTAATTAAAGTCTTAACTTTTAAAAAATGTTTGTTTTAAGTATATAGAACTTTTTATGATATTGTTTACAAGTATGTACCTGTTGTAAATATTATAATTAGCTTATACCTAGTTCGTTAAGGTTTTTCTGTTATAACTGTACTTTTTGGATTTTGTTTGCGTAATGCAGAAATAAAACTAACGATTACGTTTCTTGATCATTAAAAAATAATGTTTTCATACAGATTAGGAATCTTTAATACCTACAGAACAAAAAGGTTTCATTTTACTACTTATTTAGAAGAAAAGTGAGTACCGCCACGTAGAGACTTTGGTATAACTTTACGAAGTGTAGGTATATTTTATATAACTTAATCTTAATATATATAAATTACGTGTCACGATGTTTGTCTGCGATGGACTCTCTACTTAACCGATTTTAATCAAATTTGCACACCGTGTGCAGTTTGGCCCAACTTGAGAGGTAGGATAGTTTTTTTTACCCATGAGTGACTCGCAATTTTTATTTGCGAATTTAAGGATTTTTAATAGAATATGACAAAGGGTCGTCGAAAAAAGCAGAAGAACGTCCGCCTGGCAAGTTAGTAAGTATATAGAATATATAGGTATATGGATTTTGAATATGTTTAGTAAGCCACATTATAAAAACCAGTACGTTTAATGTAATTAACATTAACAACTTCCATGGCATCATAAAAGCATGAAAAATTTAAATTACACTTAGCTTTTTTTTCAAGCCTTTCAAAATGAAAACACAGCATACAACCCTATAAAATCTTTTACATGGCGATGATATATCGTGATATCAAAATAACTTAAATATCTAAAATTACACATTTTTAAACTTACTAAAACGGTGCTGGAGGCTGCAACCGTGTTATCGTTGTAACACGAATAGATCGGCTCGACCGGGATAGGACCACATTCTCACAGAATACCAGCGTAAAATGGCAGCTTAAAGTTAAAGCTGATGTGTTTCGTACACAGAGTGTAGAAAACTGGAGAAGTTTTTTTTTAATAGAAGCGAGGCATTCCGTCTTCGTCCTCCGGGATAACAACGCATATGCATTTTGATTCTTAATCGAGGATAGACGTAGATATCTATGGGCCACAGCAGCCATTTACCATTAGGTTTATTTAATTGTGATATGTAATTTATATCTATATATTATTATTTATTATCAATTAAGGATGGGTGGTGCAACAAATAGATAACGAGAAATCGGTGAGTATACAAAAAAAAAACATCACGTCTAAGATAGATCACTACTTTTCTTAGAATAAAACTTCTCGCTTTTGGAATTTGGTTCAAAAGAAAATATTATGAAAATAATATTCCACAATATTATGAAAATTGTTTCATGCGCAAAATTTGCCCGAATTTATTCAAAAAGTATAGTTATTAGTTATGGTCGTAGCGCACAAACTCATTCACAAAGGGATAATTATTATTAAATTAAGATCGCAAAACACATAGGTCGACCATGTTACCAAAAATCTTTCGTCGTATTATAAAAAATACATTATAATTGGTCTCAGGTTTACGTTCAATCTAATCCGTTCAAATAAGATGTATAGTATGAAATTCAACAGCTAATTTCAAAATGTAATAACTGAAAACCTAGCGGGTTTTCAGTTAAAGTTGTTAAATAAATTTCATCATCACCATCATCATCATTATATCTGATCAAAAATCAACTACTATATACAGTATATTCTAAAAGTATCGCGAATTTTGTATTTTTCAAAAAGTATTTATTTATTCATGAATATCTATTTTGTTTCCTTCAAAGTAATCGCCTTCGGATATAATGCACTTGTGCCAACGTTTTTCCAATCTTCGAAGCACTTAAAAATATCATTTTTCGTGATCTTCTTTAGTTCCTCCTTCGATCCCGTCTTTATCTTCTCAATCGTGGCGTAGCGTCGTCTTTTCATGGGCCTCTTCAGTTTTAGAAACAGGAAAAAGTAACAGGGGGCGAGGTCTTGGGAATACGGTGGCTGTGGGACCATTACTGTGTTGTTTTTGGATAAATATTCGCGCACAAGCAGCGATGTGTGAGCAGGGCGTTATCGTGGTGCAAAAGCCAGTTTTTGTTCTTCCACAAATCCGGGCGTTTCTCGCCGATTGCTTCGCGCTAATTGCGCATAACTAGCAGGTAATGTTCCTTATTGACTGTACTACCCTATGGCAAGAACTCATGATGCACCACGCCCCGGCAATCGAAGAAAACTGTGAGCAAAACCTTCATGTTTGACCGAACATGGCGCGCTTTTTTCGGTCTTTGCTCATGAGGCAGCTTCCGTTGGGATGATTGAGCTTTGGTTTCCACGTCATAACCATTAACCCATGATTCGTCACCAGTTATGACCCTCTGGACCACATTTGGGTCGTCACGACCAGTCAAATGAGCAATGTTAACGCGATGCATTTGGTGAAATTGAGAATGGCACGAACGCCGTCATCAATCTACAATCCGACCCACAACTTTACCGAGAAAAACAGAGGCCGGGCCTTTAAAACCAGGGGCCATTTTTTTAAAAAAGAATAGGCAAAAATCGAAGACGAGGGAAAACACATCCAAGCAAAACAGCTGTCAAAAATTAACTAAACATTTAAAATGACCGTTCTTGTCAGCATAAGTAAGGGACATGAGTACTTACATAAGGCTACAAAAAAATAAAAAATCAAATATACGTAGCCCGCGGAAATTCAAAATTCGCGATACTTTTTGAACAGACCTCGTACATAGGCCTCAACCAAGGAATGCCACAAAGCACGGTCAAGAGTCTTGCGAGACTTGCTGCATCTTTTACAAGGTCTTGGCTTAATCTAGGTAGTGGGGGCCTTCACTTCGCAGACCAAATATAAAAAATGTGCAACCACATTATAATTTGAATCGAAAGTATTTAGTCGGAACTTACGCAACCCTTCTTTATGAGATGTTGATTTTTTAATTTGCCATTTTTATATAATACAGATAAAACCTATAACATAATAATTAATACAGTTTTTTCTTTTTTATCGCATTCGGCAAAAATACGATACGTTTACAATACGAAGGTACGAAGTTAAAAAAGTTCAGGTTCAGTATTTACAAACGTATTCAAATTCATCTGCGTCTTATTTTTCAGGCGAATCATTACACCATGTACTCAGAATATACCGTAAACCCTTGTGTTTAAACTTTAATGGCATTATTTTTTATAATTATCTGTGTCCGACATGAACTAAAATGAAACTTTGATGAGTTTACAACTCTCACCATCAAATTTTCTCTTTTTTAATAAGGAACCTTGGAACCTTGAAACGCACATAAGATTCAAGATTGAAAATAAACAACAAGTGTGACCTATCGAAAAAATAATTGAATATTCCGTTGAAACTTTGAGTCATGTTGTTGATGTCCAGATAATTATTACTGTTAGAAACATTATAACAACGAAGCATTATGGATAAGGGGTGCGTGTCTTTGCAAATTAGTCTGCATGCGAAGTGCGACCCGTTGCGCTATTTGTTCGTTTTCTGCGAGAGATTGGCCTAACCGGTACAAATACAGATAATGTTTTAGGTATCATCTAAAATATCTTCACAATCTATTTCACTGTGCTACTTATACAAAAAAAAACAATCACCGATCTACATGAGATTTAAGCTCAAATTTTCTTAGGCAATCATTATACTCGATGCTATTACTAAAAGAGGTTTAGATAGCTAAATGCCGCGTAAAAGTTTATGTGAAAGCTTAAAATGATGAAGTACATGCCAAAAATAATTAATATGTTTACCATAGAAGTAGGAATTATGAATACTATTGAAGAAATAGTATATACATGTAAAAATTCGTAAGAAGCCCGAATGGTAAGCGTGTGCGGATAATGGAATTAAAAACAGACGGCATTTTGAATAGGTGAGCAAAGAATTTCGCTAATTTATCGTGAATATTGTTAGTTGTAAATAAGGGTTGTAGTGAGGCGAAAGGCGATAGAGTAGCCCGGGTGGCGAGTGAAAGGTAATAGACGGATATACGAAAACTAGCTTTTATTGACTACAATAATATTAATGTGCTTCGCTCCTACAGACAGCTTACAACATTAAGTTCCATGAGGAAAGCGTAAGCAATGTTGCCAGATATAATGTAATTAGAGTAGATCTGCCGTATTTTCACGCCGTCTACTGGATACGGTAATTTTATAAATACAGTGTATGGAGACACAGTATTTTTTTTTAACAAAAAATAAAATTTTATTATATAATAAACGTTCTTAGGAAAAATATCGAGAATAGGGTATTCATGTATTTCCCGTATTGGCCGTACTATAGAGGTTAGTATTATTTAGGTAGATTAAATTGGATATGCCATCGTGTAATTTTAATGTTATATTTTACGTATTATTTAAATTGTCTGGTATTCAATTGG